GGGTTTGATCTCCAGCCCCAGCCACTCGTTGGTGCTGAGGCTGGAGGTGAGGGGCAGCGTTCCCAGGAGGTCAGTGTTGAAGATGCTTAGGTCCAAGGGAGCTTTCAGGAGCTCAGGGCTGGCTTTGCAGGCCAAGGGAGCACCTGGAGCGCCGTAGCTCAGCAGAGTGGGGGCTTGGAGCCCCACTTGGCTGGAGAAGTCCCAGGCAGTGGGGTTCCAAGGGGCTTTCCATGGAGCAAGGTCCTGTGCATGGCTGCGAGGGTGCTGGGATGAGTACTGCTTCAGATACCCTTTGGCCACAGCCAGCTCCGAGCACTCCATGACCAGCACGATGTCGGCGCTGCCCATGCCCTGCGGGGATCCCGCACAGCCCAGGGAGGGCACCCCCTCAGCCAGGTCCTGCCTCGGCTCCACTGTGCCCTTGGACTGCTGCAGGTAGCCACGAAACTCCACATCCTGCTGGCTCTCCTGGCTGGTGGCAGGGGAGAAGCCGAGCTCCTCTCCATGAGGGTGGCCTCTGTGGGGCTGACATTCCCATGGCTGGACGAGCACATGGGGCAAGGGGTGTCCAAGCCCACACCACTGTCATCGCCGGTGGGCAACTGCTGTTTGTAGCCCCGGGGCTCGTGGCCGGAGGAGCCGCTCAGTTCGGAGGAGAAGGAGGCGCGCAGGCAGATGCCGCTGTCGGTGCTGGTGCTGCTGCTGTCTGCCCCCAGACCCAGCAGACGCAGCCGGTCCTCGGGCCCCGCCGGGAGCCCCCAGCCCTTCTCTGGGGGCAGCTGAGCCATGTCCGGGCTGCCATCCTGTCGGGGCTCCTTCTGGCACAGGAAGAGCTGCTGGACACGGTCTCCGTCTGGGATGCCTGAGGACGAGGGCTCCTGCTCCACCCAGAGCGAGCTCTGCTTTATGAAGGATTTCTGGGAGGGAGAGAACAGACAGGGGTGAGCTGTGCTTGGTCCCCCTTTGCGGCCTGCCTCTCCCCACAGCTACCCATCCCCTTGTGCCAGCCTTACCAGGACGGACGGTGGCCTCATGGGTTTCTTTATGTAGGTGCAGACCAGCAGGATCCCCAGGAGGCCCAGGAGCAAGCGGCTGATGAAGGAGGAGCCGACCATGCTCAGGACAAGCTCTGCGCTCCCTGCAGGAGAGGACATGCCCAGGTGAGGGCGGAAAGGCAGAGTCCTCGGTGCATAAAACACAGAGGCCGTGGTGCAGGACCCCTGCATCCCGCTAGGCCGCACTTACGATCCCTCTCGGCGGTGGTGACGCACTGCTCGGCGGTGCGTGTGGCGCGGCTGGGCCGGCTGGACACCACGGGCTCCACGCTGACGCAGTACTCGGTGTCCCAGAAGAGGTTGGTGATGTTGAACTCTGGGACATTCTTCATCACTTCGTACTGCAATAAGCAAAACGCAGGCTGGTACCCGAGCCTTCTCCAGCCCCTGCGGGAGCGCTGGGGCCTGTGCCTTGCTCCCTTCTCCTCCTCCTCTACTGTCCCCTGAGGAAAGTCCCTGGGACATTTAGCAATGCAGCTGATGAGCCCAAAATCCCAACAGGAGTTGGGGAACCTACTGCAATGAAACACGCAGAGAAATCTCTCTGCGATGTTAACACTGCGAGAAAGATCAATATTAAGTTTTACAGGAGACTGCGCTTTAAAAAATGTGGGTTTTTTCGGCTTGAGCAGCAGCACTGCGTGTGACAGATGGGGACAGCAGGGGACCAGCAGCTCCTCTCACCGTCCGGTTGTTCTGCGTCCTCCTGACGTACACCCGGTACTGCCTCAGGTGCTTGTGGATGCTGTCGTACTTCACGCTGAGGTTGCCCACCCTGAAGAGCAGCTGCAGCTGCACGTGGATGGTGTTGCCCGTCACCGAGAGGCTCTGGCCCGGCAGGCGCAGGTGAGCTGGAAACAAGACAGGTGGGAGAGCGCGTTAGGGTTTTCCCCCTTCCCCATCGTCCCCATCAATCCCCATCTCCATCATCCCCATCCCATCCCACAGCCCAGCTGCCCTACAGGAAGGTGTGAAGAGAGACATCCCTGCTCCCATCTATCCCAAAGTTCTTCCCAAGCAGTTTTGGCACCCTGACCTCTGCCATTCTCTGCCCCATGGCCGCAGGGTGCAGGCAGGCATCCAACCTACCTTCCTGCATGGAGAAAGCGTTGGTCCTTTGCCACGGGGACGTGTGGTTTCCAGACACGGCCCTGACCCGTGCGTAGTAGCGCTGGGCAGGATCCAGGGTGTAGTACGTGAGGTCGCAGGAGTGCTCCAAAATCTTGGTGCAGCTTGGGATGGATGTCCAGGAGAAATTGGTGCCGTAGCTGCAGGGAGAAGCGCCCGGGGTGAGAGCAGTGCGGGCAGGTGACAGCGACCCCGTTGTCCCCGCTGTCGGTATCAGGTGCTGGGTGGTGACCAAACCCCCTGCGCCCCTGTTGTACTCACACTCCGAGCTCCACTTGGTAGTGGATGTCACCGCGGGGGCTGTGTCCCGGCTGCCACCGCAGCAGGTGGTGCCCGATCTCCGCATCAAAGCGCACGTGGGTGGGGCTCGCCAGCTTCTCCCCTGGGGACCGAAGGCAAGCGTTGGGTGAGGATCCACGGCACATCCTGTCCCATCTTGTCCCATCCCGCTTGTGGCCATAGGAGGTAGGCAGGGCTCCTTGCGATTCCCTCCTCAGTTGCTGGCCTGGAGCTTGAACCTTTGTATTCAGCTGTCACCACCCATCCACCCAAAAAGCGCAAGGATTTGCTCAGACCTGTCCCATTTTTCAAGTTTCAGCATTTGCTCATCTCCCTC